CTCTAATTCTTCTCCAGGTCATGTTAATTCTTTACTAAAAATTTACTTGCGCTAAAGAGGTTAAAGAAGAAATCAAGGTCGTGTTTGTTAATTATATACTGGTGCGTTTATAACTGTAATTAGCATATGTCTGTAATAGTCAAGTATTACAGAACGAATTAGTGCGCATATATAAATTATGTTCCTCCGAAGTGTGTTTAGCTGTATAAACTAAGATTGCAAGAAACCAAACTGGAGTTAATATGTGGCTATTTGCTCTGGTAATTGTTAGTGTGAGTACCAGGTTCTGAGAGTGAAGCTCTGAGCTCGGGCAGGATAGATGAGAGCTGCCAAAACTAGCATCATTGATGGACCTCACCTGCACTGCCAGCAGCAGCAGAGCTGGCCTGGGTGTTGCCAAGTCCTCAGCAGGAGGCAGGACCCTCGCTACAGCCACGGCGTGAGGACCAGGAAGGCCCACCAGCTGGGGAGGTCTTCCCAGGACCCTCAGAACGAGAGAGAAGCAGCCTGGGTGCCCCTTCAAGTTCCATGAGGATGTTTTGCAGACTTCATAGGGCGGAAAGATCTGCTGGTATTGAAAAGGTGAGCGTCGTAAGCTCAAGTCTCAAAAATAACCTCTCGGCTGTTGGTCAGAATTCAGCTCAGAAACAGGGTATGTCGCCAAGAACAGGCAAATGCACTGAGGAAGTATCAAAGTCGTTTCAGTAAAAGCAAATAACACAGATCACTTTTCCCAGTATCTTCATTTTGTAGACTTACTTAAGATTAGTTTCAAGGTCACATTCACTGTTGTCAACTAAAGGCAGCTGGCAGCAGGAGGTACTGCTCTCCACACAGATATCCATGGGACTTTTCAACATAAATGCCTCATCATGTGAGTTCCCCAGTTCCCGTCACTCACTCTGTTCCTGGAAATGATCTCCATGGGGCTGCCTCGGATGCCAACCTTATTGTTAAAACCATAAAGCTTCCTAATACCCGCTTCCACGAAAGGGAGCCAGCTGGCAGTTTTCCCTCTGCCTCAGAGACCTGTGTGGTTGACCCCTGGCGGTGGAAAGATGCCCAAGACATGTCACGTGGAGATCCTGTTTTCAAGCAACCATGTGGCCTTTGGAAAAGGCAGCTGCTTCTTCCTGTTAAAGGGCTGTTAAGTGGCTGCAGATGAGAGCTCCTGGCTCACCCACTGTGACCTCTCAGGACTTCCACGTTCCTCTAGTTCCTACTCCAGTTGTATTAGTGCGTTAGAAATCTGTGAGGAAGTACTCAGATATTTAGGCCGTGAGTATTAGATTGGGGCCAAGCAGTTCAGGTGTGTTAACCCTAAAGGATTGCCCGTATCCTGTACTTGACCTTGCAGTCTGTGCTGTGGGGTCTTCCAAAAACTTGCAAGAGTGTTAACACACTGGGATTCTGAGGGCACATTTCACAGTAGCGGTAGCCAAATTCCCAAATGCTAATTTCAGCAAAAAATAAATACTTTTATCAGTTCCTTATCTTTATACATTTCACTGTCAAAATAGATTTGTCAACTCAGATTTTCAGGAACCTACAGATAGTATCTGAAGTCCCTGAGCAGTTTAAAAATAATCAACATATTTACGCAGTACATTAATCAACAGACTTATACAGATGTTCTGTCTTTTGGAGTCATAGAAATCCTGTGCCAAATGGGCTCATAATTAGGAGATCCTGTCATATTTGACAAAAGGGAACAAATTTGTAAGTTCAAGTGAAGTGTCTGACACATAGCCCAGTAGTAACAAATTCTGAGTAGAATGTGGTTCTTTTATCTTTCAATCAACTGTTCTATTTTTTTTCACAGCAGAGTAACTTTTGGCAAAATGTGTTTTATAGCACTAGTTCTAAGAAATGTGTATAAAAGAGAACTAGTGTGTGTGGCATTGGAGGGCAGAATGCTCAGTTTGTTTCTGCAGCACTTGTAAGAAGTTTTGGACAGTCAATTTTACCTGGTGGGTTTTTACACTGTTGACTTTTGATGATGGCCATCCTTCCCCTACTTTTCTCAGAGTGTCAGGGTACTACAGTTCCTCTGGGAAACATGGCATTCCACGAAGCTTAGCGCTCTTTCAAGACATCCCTAGTGCAAGTGCTGAATGGTGAATCTACTCCTGAACTACTGTGTGCATCTCAGAGTCTAGTGAGGAACTAGAAAATGCATTGACCATGAAAACTATATTTTTTTCAAAAAAAGCATAAAGGGGCAGGCACCGTAGCCTAGTGGCTAAAGTCCTTGCCTTACATGTGCCATTATGCCATATGGGCACCATTTCATGTCCTGGCTGCTGCTCCATTTCCCTTCCAGCTCCGTGTTTGCCTTCCTTTTCCTTCCAGTGGCCTTGGAAGGCAGCTGAGCATGGCCCAAAGTCTTGGAACCGTGCACCCATGTGGGAGACCTGGGAGAAGCTCCTGGTTCCTGGCTTCAGATCAGCTCAGTTTTGGCCGTTGCGATCACTTGGGGAGTGAACTAGTGAGTTGAAGAACTTCGTATCTCCTCTGTGAATCTGACTTGCTAATAAAAATAAATTGTTTTAAAAGCGAGATAATTTTTAAAAATTCCACCCATGATGTGTAAAATTAGTATTTATGTTTAGTTTTACAGGTTTCTCAATAATTATTGGCAAACTATGGATACCATGTTTTAGTGATGCTTTTGCATGGCACTTTAGAATTTTCACACATTTCGGGGAAGACAACCCTGTGAGACAGGCAGTATTATTCTCTTTGGGCGGATGAGGCACTGGAAACCTTGTTGTGATTTTTCATTAGACCACAAAGCCATGGGGCCAGAACTCACTGGCAGAGCTGACTCCAGGTCCAAAGTTCTTCGCTCCTCACTTGGCTGCTGCTTTTCTAGCTTTCCGTTTTTCAACAAAAAGCATAAAAGCAGATCTTGAAGGAATATTAGTCTGGCTTATTACCACACATCATTTTGTTCAGTAATGTAGTGACCCAAAAAGTGTTGTACCTCTTCCAAAGGAAACTTCTTTGTGCTTTGCAGTGACACTTGGTTTAGGTGATTGGTGTGTATTTCAAATATGATTTGATTTGAAAATGAAGATCGGAGATGCCCTCATAATTGTTTAGGGACCTCTTGGAAAATCTGTCAGTTTGTGTATTCTCAGGCAACGAAGACATGGTTTGAAAGTGAAAAAGAAGTTTCCAGTAAATGGTAAATGTTCTTACAATGATACTGTTTCTTAGCTTTAACTCCCTTTGACAACCCACTAATGTAACTTCTTTGTAAATGTAAAGTATTTATATTTTGAAATAAAATGACTATGTTAAACACATCCTCATCTGGCAGTCATCTTTTATCTACTGAGAAATGTGATCTGTAGCCAAACTTTCACGAGTACATTTATCTGTGTCTTCTGATGTCAGGGCCTGCAGCAAGCGTTTATGGAATATTGCCCACTTCTGTAGTGCTGAGTATCCTAGAGAGGGCAGCAGGTGCAGAAGCTGGAGTCCTCAGTGCACAGGGAACATGCGGCTGGTGGGTAAGGATATGGACGGACAGGTGACTGAGGGCTGTGAAATGGAAGAATGAAATTAAGACTAAGCAAGTCTCCCCGTGGCTGTCTTCATACCGAAGATACAGTGCAGCTCTGGGAGCTGAAGCTGGGCGGACAAACGGAAGCACTTCCCTGAGGGTGGCCGGCTCATGGGGTGGCCCTAGGGATGGAAACATGATCACGCCAAGGTGTAAGGGGAGCCAGCTGGTCTCACTCTCTGCTTTGATAGGTTCCCATTGCTCGATGCAGAAGTTCACAAAGTAGGCTTCGTGCGCAGGGTGCATGCATTTGGCAGGAAACCTGTGTAAGCTTGGAGAACACATTCTTAGCCTTGCCCTTAAGGGACTTCTCAGAAACACAGCAACCATGATCTTTCCATTCAGTGAGCTGTTACTAGGAAAACATACCTGGCACTGGCCGGAAAGTAATTTTGAAAAGTTTTAAAAAGTAAAGTCTTGCTAAGCAGTAGAGGGAGCTTTTTCATGTTTTATTTAATTCCATTCTTCCTGAGTCTCCTGGTATTAGATGAGTGGATTATCAAGTGCTTCCTTTTTTTAAAAAAAAATATAAATGATGTGTTTTTGTCTGCAGAGAAGGTCTGCAGAGAGAAAAAGACAGATGGACCTTCCGTCCAATGGTTCACATACCAAGCAGCAGCAACTGCCAGAACTGCGCTGATCGGAAGAAGCCAGCCATATGGGATCCCAGTGTTTGTAAGGGGAGGATTAGCTAGTTGAGCCATCTGGCGGGGCCCTAAATGTTTCCTTTTCAGCTAGGCTCAGTTTATGAGAAACTTGGTCAGAAAATAAGTAGGAGGGAAGGTGGGGGGGGGGCGGGTAAAGTTCAATGCTCAGGACCCCCACAGACTTGATAACTGTGCCGTGCGGGTTTCAACCCTAGGACAGCTTCCACAGCACTGTGGCAATTCGGATTAATTTAAGGGATGCTTGTCCTTGTCTAGGGAAGAGGCCAGTAGCTGAAGGGAACCCTCTGGTGTCACCTTTCTTGTCCTTACCCTGGGGAGACATGCCCTGAGCCTACCTAAAGAGAGAGGGGGCGGTGCAAAAAACGGGGCCGGCGGGGCATTGGGTGGAGCTGTGATGGTAAATAGGGAATGAGGGTCTTGAGGGCCAGGCTGCCGAAAACGGACCCGCGAAGGTGGCGCTCAGAGGCTTGGCGGGCCTGGGTCAACAGGGACGGGCCCGGGGCGGGGCCTGGAGTGGAGGGTGGGCGGGACCAGGAAGGGTGTGGGCGTGCCCTGTTGGGGTAGTATGGGCGGGGCCTGGAGTGGAGGGTAGACAGGACTAGGACTGGTGTGGGTGTGCGCTGCCGGGGCGTGGTGGGCGGGGACGGGGCGGGGTCTGGAGTGAAGGGTGGAGGGGCCGGGACGGGTGTGGGCGTGCCCTGGCGGGCCGTGGGGGCGTGTCCGGCACGGGGGCGGGGCCTCCGGTGGCGCGGGTGCGCCGCAGCTGACGGGCGTGCTGGCGGCCAGAGGGCTCGCGGTGGCGCGGAGTCTGGATTGCTCGTCGCGCGGAGGACCATGGCCGCCTCTCCCGGGTCCGCCGGCCTCGGCAGCGCCGGAGCTGTCCACGGCTCTAGCCCGTCGGGCTTTGCCTTCGACTCGGGACTCGAGATCAAAACGCGCTCGGTAGAGCAGACGTTGCTCCCGCTGGTTTCTCAGGTAAAGTGTCCCCCGTGCGGCTCTTGCGCTCCCTCCAGCTGCGGCCCTCCATGGCGGCGGCCGCTCCTGGGACCCGGCCTCGGCCCCGGCGCGGCGGGCGTCAGCGGCTGCCTCGATTCCCGCGTCGGCGCCGAGGCACCGGAGGTCGAGGCGCACGGGGACTGGGCCACCCTCCGAGACGCGGCGCGTGGATAGAGGGGGCTGTGGCGTGGAGGAGTGAGCCGGGCAGGTGCACTGCCGGGGCTGGGCCTCGGGACCCTCCTGTGACTGCCGAAGAAGCCCCCTCGGCTGGACCAGCAGCACAGCCGACCCTGGGGCCTCAAGGACCTCCTAGTGACCGCGACGCAGCCAACTGTCGCCGCTCGCTCGCATCCCCAGCCCGAGCCGCCAGTGGCCTCGCAGTGCAGCGCGCTCTCCCGAGAGGCCTTTGTCCCTCTCTCCTCTGTGTGTGAGCTCCCTCAGCTCCGATTTCCCGGTCCCTATCCCAGGCCCCTGCTGCTTGACCCGCCTGCCCACATAGGTCTGCTTTTGTCCGGCCACCACGGAGCCCATCTTTTTGCCCTCGCCCGGTTTGGGCTGTCTGCGTTGTTGTATTTGTCGATGGTAACCCTAGACGGGAACCGGCGAACTGCGCCAGGTGTTTGTTATTCCGAGCTGGGTTGTTCGCAGCCCTGAGGGCTGGGATTCCTCACCTGGATGCAGAAGGTGCCAAGCTCTGTGGGGAGGGAAGAATGCGGTGCCTTCAGCAGGCGTTGGGTCTGCGTGACTCACATGCCTTGAAACTCCTGGTTGACTCACACTAGGCTTATCAACATTGTGGAGGTGGGAGGAATCTTGAATGATCTGACTCTAAATTAATAGATTCTTTCATAAAGCATCCTTGACACCTGGCCGCCAATACTCGGCTTCAACATGTTCAGTGATGCGGGAGCCCAGCCCTGCAGCTACTTAGAAATACCAATCAACCAGGTCCCTAGATTCCTGTTACGCTGATTAAATAAAAAGCCCCGTTTTCCTAACTGGCTTAGCAGCTAACAGAGCAGCAAGGAATGCCCACACCCGCTTCCTGTCTGCTCCTGAAAGAGTCCCTGAGCAGTGGGCAGGAGGGCTGGGGTCCCTAAGTGACTCCTGTCCTCAAAACAAAAACACCCACAGTGCAACGACCACCCAACACGAAACTGTTGGAGCAGTTTTAAGAGTTGGTATTGTAGCATTGCACAGTAAAACTCAGTCTGTGACCCCTCAGCAACCTCATACGTGTTAAATCCAGTCCCTGCTAATGTGCCTGGGAACGTAGCTGAAGGTTGTTGCCCAAGTGCTTGGGTCGCTATAACACCTGGGATAAGCTGCAGGCTCTTGGCTTTGACCTGGCATAGCCCTGGCGGCTGTGGCCATTTGGGGAGTAAAAAGCAGATGGAAGATTCTGTGTCTCTCCTCTCTCTGTAACTCTGCCCCTCAACTAAATAATTAAGAGAGAGAGAGAACAGTAGAGTTCAAATTAATAGTGCTTGACCCATTTATTTAATAGTCTCCGTGCTAAACTGTTCTTAGCACTTTGTAAATGTTAACTCTCTTATTCCAAATAACCCTGTGACCTTGGCATGAGGTTTTTTCAAAAAGCTCCTTGAAAATGGATTCTGAAAAAAAAAGAACTACTCAAATTTCAAAAAAATGTTTTTAAAACCAAAGAAACTTTGCTGAAAAAAATTGAGAGACACAGAGATGAGACAGGCAGATGGAGAGACTGTGAACTTCCCGTTCACTGATTTGTTCCTCAAATGCTGGCAAAGGCCAGGGCTGGACTGGGGCTGATGCCAGGGACTAGAAACTTGGTAGCAGGGCGCTCACAGGGACAGCAGGAGCCTGGCGGGGGTGTGGACCCTAACCGCTGCCTACCAGGGCTGCATCACCACCAGCGGGGGACCAGCAGTGGAAAAACAAACTAGGGCTGTGAGCTAGAGAATGGTAACTTTTTACACTATCTTTAGTAAAAATGTATCCTTGCTGAAGCTCTGCCTTCTGTGCTTCAGGGGCCAACGAGGAGAATCTTCGTGGAGTTTACTAGAGGTCAATGCCAAAAGGGGAAAAAACACCTACTCTTTTCAAGTCTTCTTCAGCCTTGTAGTCATAGCAGAGGTTTTGTTTCACTCCTTACACATCCATGACTGTATTTCTCGCACAGTGTCATAACTTATACTCCTAATGATTGATTGCACTCAGCTGAAAAACGATAACTTTTGCCTAGTATCAAGAGCTAGATATAGTCAGAATATATTTTTTTAACGAAACAGGGACATGTGACATACAACTTTCCTTTTTTTTTTTTTTTAGATTTATTTATTTTCATTGCAAAGTCAGATATACAGCGAGAAGGAGAGACAGACAGGAAGATCTTCCATCCAATGATTCACATTCCAAGTGACCGCAACAGCTGGTGCTGCGCCGATCCGAAGCCAGGAGCCAGGAGCTTCCTCCGGGTCTTCCATGCAGGTGCAGGGTCCCATGCCTTTGGACCATCCTCGACTGCTTTTCCAGGCCACAAGCAGGGAGCTGGATGGGAAGTGGAGCTGCCAGGATTGAAACCAGCGCCCATATGGGATTCTGGCACATTCAAGGCGAGGACTTTAGCTGCTAGGCCACCATGCTGGGCCCGTGACATACAACTTTAAGTGTGCATTAAGATATTAAAACTGCAGCTTTATAGAAAAGTTGTGTGTTCTGTCACTGTTTCATCACTAGGTTCCCTTACGCCTTTTAAGCAAAGGTTTATTTTATGGTCACCATTTGTTGCCCTTTGATGGGCCTGTGTTCTTGTTGATAGATAGAACATGTATAGAGTAATTCATGCCAAGTATCAAACGAACACCATCAGTAATAAGCTCTCTAGAATGTCAGAGAAGCCAGGATAAGCCATACACGATACCCTGGAGAAAGCAGTTTGAAAAGAAATAAGATGAGCACTGTATCGTTTTATTTATTTATTTTGTATAGTTTTTAAAATTTAAGACTTGTTTATTTGGAGGAGTTACAGAGAGAGCAGAAGGGACAGAGAGATCAGTCTACTCATTCACTGCCCTAGATGTCTGCAACAGCTGGTGTTGGAGCAGGCCAAGTCAGGAGCTCCATCCAGGTCTCTCACAGGGGTGGACCAAGCACGTTGGGCCATCTTCTGTTGCTTTCCCAGGCGTTATCAGGGAGCTGGATCGGAAGTGGAGTATCCAGGACATGAACCATCCTCTATATGGGTGGTTAGTGACATACACAACTGCTTTATCTGCTATGCGGGGCTGGCATGGAGAAGCAAGGGTGCCTCTCATGTAAGAGACCTGGGTGGAGCTCCTGGCCCCTTTGGCTTGGACAAGCCTGGCCTTTTGTGGTCATCTGGGGAGTAGATCAGCACATAGACCAAGTCTCTTTCTCTCTCTCTTTCTCTCTATAACTCTGTGAAATAAGGAAATAAACCTTAACCAAAAATTAAAAAAAAAAAAACAGATAGTTTCTATTCTGATATCAATTCCCCTCTTCTTTAACTCTTCAAGTCAGCATTCCTGCTATTGAATTTATTCTAGGAATGCAGGGTTGTGTCATTGTTAGTAAACCGTGCAGTTTTCTGCAGTCACAGATTAGAAATAATGTATGTTCATAATGATAGATGCAGCAAAGACATTCAATTAAATTGACCTAATCATGATAACCTGTTGGAATAGCCACAGAAAACTATCAGTTAAGAGCATGGAAACAATCAATCTTCAACATTTCCCATAAAATCGAAGCAAGAGCTGGATGCCTGCTGTCACAGCTTCTGTTGAATGTAGTACTGAAAACCCGAGCAGAGCAGTATGACAAGAAGAAGGATGTCAGATGCAGAACAGAAACAAGGCAGACCTGCTCTGGGAGACTTCAAGACTTATGTTGAAGCAATAGTACCTAGGACAATGTTGGTGTAAGAACAGGGGTGAAAAAATACACAGTGAACCAGAATAGAATACCTAGAACAGATAAATGCTTACACGGGCATCCTTGGTAATAAAGTGAATGATGGTTGGCATTGCTGACCAGTAGAACATCGAAGAACTTGTTAAGAATTGAGGTAGGATAACTTCTTGCTTAAATGAAAATACATGACACAGTATTTCTGTCTCACATCACATGAAAAAAACATAGTTTTGGGCCTGGTGCAATGGCTCAATGGCTAAATCCTCATCTTGTAAGCACTGGGATTCCAGTAAAGGTTAAGGGTGCACATTTGTATCCCAGCTGTTCCACTTCCCATCCAGCTCTCTGCTTGTGCCCTGGGAAAGCAGTAGAGGATGATCGAAGACTTGGGACCCTGCACCCATGTGGGAAACCTGTAGGAAACTCCTGCTCCTGGCTTCAGATCAACTCAACTCGGGCTGTTGCGGTCACTTGGGGAGAGAAGCAACGGAAGGAAGAACTTTTTCTCCATTTTTTTTTTCCTGTAAATCTGCCTTTCCAATAAAAATAAATAAATCTTTAAAAAGCAATAATAATATCTTTAGGTGGATTGGTGACCCCCAATATGAAAGAAAAAACTTAGGCTTTTGAGAAGGCAATCTCTTCTCTTGGAATGGATAGAAAAGGATTTCCCAATATACCAAAAGAATGCATTCTAAGTGTCAACTTTATTAAAATGAAGAACCTCTTCATTCAAAGGCATTATATGAGTGAAAAAGTAAGGCATGAAGTGGGATACAATTGGCACACGGATTACCACCAAGTGACTCATAACATCAAGAATAAAGGAATACTTTCATAAACCAAAATTACAAAGATTAGCCATTAAAATTTGGTCACAGATCTGGTCATCTTGGAAAAGATGAAACAGGTGGCTAAAAGATAAGTGAAAAGATGTTCAACTTCATTATTAATGAGCTAAAACCACAATGAGAGATGTTAGTGATGGGTGTGAGATGGTAGGCATGTGACTAGGACAACCATTTTAGAAAACAGTGTGATGGAATCTGTTAAAACTGAGGGAG